TGGAAGTTGTGGGATTAGATATTTTCCTGTTATTTTTTGCAGGGCTGCCCTTTTCACTTTATTTTCTGATTTTCGTAATTTGAGTCTTTTTTCTTAGTCAGTCTAGCTAATGGTTTATAGATTTTGTCGATTTTTTCAAAGAACCAACTTTTGGTTTTGTTGGTTTTCTGTTCTCTATTTCCCCTGCCATAAATTTTTGAAGCAAATTCTAAACATTATTTAATTTCTTCTATAAATAATTTAGTATTGTCTCTAAAATATGAGATCTTTTAAAAAACACAAAGTACTAGTATTATACATTAAATGTTAATAATTCCTTAATATCACATTTAGTCAGTGTTCAAATTTCTTTGGTTATTTCATAATTTTTTCAGCTCATTTGTTTCAAGTTGGGATCTAAAAGAATCTACACATTGCATTTGGTTGGTATGTCTCTGAAATTTCTTTAAATCTGTAGATTCTTCTTCCTGCCCCCTTCCCTTCTATTTATTGAAGAAACCAGAACATTTTTCTTTTAGAATTTCCCTCATTTTGGTGTCATTTAATTACAAAAAAACCCCACCTCTCTTGTATTTCCTGTATACTGGTTAGACCTACAGACTTCATCAGATTCAATTTTCTTTTTTCTTTTTTTTTTAAAGAATGTTGCTTAGCCCTGGGCATAATCCCAGTACCTTCGGAGGCCAAGGCATGAGGATCAGTTGAGCCCAGGAGGTTAGAGACCAGGCTGGACAACAGAGTGAGACCTGGTTTTTTTTTTTTGTTTTTTTTTTTTTCAATTAGCTGGGTGTGGTTGCACGTGTCTATAGTCCCAGCTACTTGGGAGGCTGAGACAAGAGGACCACCTGAGCCCAGGAGTTCAGAGGTGTAGTGAACTGTGATCATACCACTGCACTCCAGCCTGGGCAACAGAACAAGATCCTGTCTCTAAAAAATAAAAATAAAATTGAAAAAAATAAAACGCTGCTTAGGTGGTATTATGTTTTTTTCCCATTGCCTCACTTCAGGGGGCACATCCTATATGTGTTGTAATCTTAAGATTGATCCTGATCCATCCTTTATAAAGTTAGTTCCCTATTAGTCTTTTACTTAATGATTTTAGCATCCACTGATAATCATTGCCTAAATACATCATTAAGGGTTATGAAATGGTGATATTCAAATTTTACCATTTCTTTTGAATTGGTGGGAGATCTATAAAGAAAACTAATTATTTTGGGGTACAGTTCATATAGGATAGGAAGGATAAATGCTTGACTCGTGCCTTGTTTCCCAAACATCTTCTAAAGGTGACCAATGAGGTTATTTTTGAATACCATTATGAACTTTTGAATTTTTAATATTTAATATGTTTTGAATCATTGCGGCAATTTTCCCGTGTTAAATTGCTTCCTTTTGGCTAGAGGTTTCTTCACATTGGCTCCTATGTTCTTATTACATAATCCTAGTAGTCTTTGAGGGTTTTCTTGCTTTCTGGTATAACAAGGTATTTCAGGTTTATCTAATAAGTTTCCTGTTCTAGACCTGGAGACAGCCATTTCTCCAAGAATCTCTGGTTCTTTCTGTGGGAAATGCTATTTAGGGACCATAATCTAGGCACAGATGTATTTACTTACTCTAGTTTGAACATTTCTTCTAGGCCTTTTTAGTGGGACTGAACTGGGAATCTTTCCTTTTTGTTTTTAAAGAGCGAATATATATTCCTCTCTTTTGCTGAAAATATTGATTCCTAAGCAGATATTATTTGCTCTTCCCAATATATACATCTATACATATGTGTGCATATATGTGTAACAATACCAATATCACTTCTAGCCATAGAGTGAAAACATTTAAGCTTTCTTGGGCGTATTATCAAATTTCTGTGTTTGCCAATCACTTGAAATAGTTCCGTCTTGTGCTCATTACAATATTTCTTCATCCATGTTGTTGCATGTGTCAGTGTGTTAGAGTTCTCCAGAAAAACAGAACCAATACAATATATACTGCCATATATGAGAGGATTTATTATGGGAAGTGGCTCACGTGGTTATGGAAGCTGAGAAGTCCCACAATGCACCAATGCCGTCTACAAGACGAAGACCTGGGAAAGGCAAGGGTGTCCTGCAGTCTAAGTCCAAAGGCCTGAGAACTAGGAGCTCTGATGCCTGAAGGCAGGAGCAGATGGATGTCTCAGCTCATGGAGAGAAAGACTCCACCCTTCTACCCATGTTCTATTCAGGCCCTCAGTGGAATGCATGGAGGACATGATTCTGACCCATGTGGGTGAGGGCGGATATTCTTTACTCAGTCTACGAATTCAAATGCTGATCTCTTCCAATGATGTTTACCAGCCACTGGGCATCCCTTACCCACTGAAGCTGACATAAAATTAACCATCACAGTCAATATTTCTGTTGGATTGCTGAATACAATTCCATGGTATGAATATACCACGTTTTGGTTTAACTTTTCTTCTATTTGATGGACATTTGGTGTCTTTCTAGTTTGTGCTATTATGAATAAAGCTGCTATAAACATTCTTGTACAAGTTTGTTTTCATTTTTCTCACATATATATACACCAAGGAGTGGAATTGCTGGGTCATAGGGAAGGTATATTTTGAACTTTATTAGACGCTGCTGAGCAGTTTCCTAAAGTATTTGCATCATTTTGCACTTTACCAGCAGTGTGCCAAAGGTCCTCCTGTTCCCATTCTCCTAGGATTTCTCACTGTCATTTTCTCCTATTTTTCTTATTCTGATAAAATTTGGTCAACAGTTTTCCAACTCTGTATTGAATGTTTTATTTCTGTTGTCCATATTTTTTGTGTTCTCCTATTTCCTATTCTTTATTTTCCTATTCTTTAATAATATTCTGTTAGCACATATTCTAATTTCAGATTTTGATTTTAGAATTTCCACACTTAGAAAACTTTATAAAGTGGGTTCAGAGATGCCTTACATTTGTTTTTTTTGAAGCCAAATTAAGATTTATTCCCTTTATATTTTTTTTATTAAAAAGTTCTCAGGAACCACATAACATTCATCCCCTTAAATTGAGGCAGTTGTACTCAAAATTGATGCTTGGGGCCCAAACTGTAGTTCACTGGGTGTTGAGGAATCTAGTTAGATTGACTTGTGTAGGACTTCTTTAGTCTAACATTTGTGGTGAAAACTGAGGTTTCAACCAAATACTTTTTTTTTTTTTTTTAAACAGAGGAGACCTCACTACATTGCCCAGGCTGGTCTCAAACTCCTGGCCTCAAGCAATCCCCCTCAGTCTCCCGAGTCACTGGGATTACAGGCATGAGCCACCATACCCAGCTCTTTTTTTTTTTTTTTTTTTGACAAAACATCTGACACAGCCCAGGGCCTCACTCTTACTCTGGCCCACCATCTCCTGTATGTGATGGCCCACCAGGCAGCCTTTAAAGTCAGGTCTCTCAAATTTTCCCCAAGAATGCCAACTCTTTCAGGTACTTTTAGTACCTAAAGCATGTATTTTATCTTTCTCAACCACAGTCCAGAATCCTGGCACTTCAGGAGGTGGACAGAGGATTCATTTGTGAATCAACAGCATTCATCAGAAATTTGGGCCGGGCGCGGTGACTCATGCCTGTAATCCTAGCACTCTAGGAGGCCGAGGCAGGAGGATTGCTTGAGCTCCAGAGTTCGAGACCAGCTTGAGCAAGAGTGAGACCCTGTCTCTACTAAAAATAGAAAAATTAGGTGGGCGTGGTGGTGTAAGCCTGTTATCCCAGCTACTTGGGAGGCTGAGGCAAGAGGATGGCTTGAGCCTAGGAGTTTGAGGTTGCATTGAGCTAGGCTGATGCCACTGCACTCTAGCCTGGGCGACAGAGTGAGACTCTGACTCAAAACAAGAAAAAAAAGACAATCCCATGTTTTCGAAAACAGACTGATTATCAGACTTACCAGGGAACTTATTTGAAAATGCAGGCCCCTGGACTCCTCTGCTGGGTATTTTGAATCAGAGGGCCAGGCATCTGTACTTTTAAAACAGCCAGCTTATCTAAAGTATACAGTCATTCCCCATCCAAAGCTCTCTACATCCTAGCCATGACTTAAGAGAAAACATCTAAAAGCTACATATCCAGATTACATTATTCTAGATTCCTATAGAAACCAGGCTTCAAGGAGCATACAGCCATTTTTGTCAACATGACACACTGACTTGTAGACAATTTCTATACCTTTCATAAAAACTGGCTAAAAGCATCAACTAGTATTTACATAAGAATCCATGTCCATTTGTTCTAAAAATGCCTGCAACCAGTATTTACATAAGAATCCATGTCCATTTGTTCTAAAAATGCCTGCAACCAGTATTTACATAAGAATCCATGTCCATTTGTTCCAAAAATGCGTGGAAAAGTTGGCTCCTAGAGGAACCTGTGTGTTCCTTTCTGTCAAGTAAAAGCTGTGCATCCTGAGGTATTTGTTTCCTGGCCTCCTTGGAAGTTCACAGATAAATTAGGTATCATTTGGAAGCTTACCCCATTTAAACAGGCCTGCTGTATCTTTCTGCCTACACTTTAAAATGCTCAATTCTATTTATAAAAAGTGTTTATAACCACATCTAGTAATAGAGTTATAATGTAAGCAATCCTGCTTTAGGCACTGAACAGTACCACAGCTTTGAACTCTCCAAATATTCTGGAAGCCAATATATGAAAAACAAATCTCAGTTTTTATTTGCAGAGGGAGAAAGAGACCTGGTTGGGTTCGCTCTCCGCTAAGTATCCAGCGCCAGCATAGGGTCTAACATAGAGCAGATGTTCGGTAAATGCTTGCTGAAAGAACGAATCAATAAGGGAATGAGTGATTGAACGAATGAATGGAAGAACTCACCCATTCTTGTACCAGGCGCGGGTCTGGCAGGAATCAATGAGCCGGCGGAAGGCGGCCGGGATTCCACTCGACGGGGGGCGGGGCGCCAGTGGAACCCCGCCCATACGGGGGCGGGGCCTGCGGCGCGCGGGAAGCGGCGCGGGGCGGTGAGAGGTGACGGCGCCACGGATTGACCGCGTTCCCTCAGGTATGGCTTCCCAGGGATGGCCCGGGCGGCCCCGCGGTTTTCCTGGCTGGGGCGGGAGGGAAAAATAAGGTCTGGCCGCTGGGGCCTGGGACAGGTCCAGAGCGGCGTGCGTCCGGGCGTCCGGCCCTGCGCGTCCTCCTCCCGCTAGTTCTTGGCCCGCTTCCTGGGCCCACGCCTAGTCCCTGGGAAATGGGGTCGCCTCCCCCTTGCGGCCTCCTCCCCCGTGCGGCTCCTTCCCCCGTGAGACCCCCTCCCTCTTGAAACCCCCTCTTCCGGAAGATCCCTCCCGGGGCGGCCCCCTCCTCCAGGCGGCCCCTCCTTTGGGTACCCCCTCCCTTGGTCAACCCCCTCCTCCGGTTCTCCCGGCGCGCCCCCAACCCCCACTGAGCGCGGGCGGGTCGCGCAGCCCGCCGGGCCCCTAAGTGGTCTCTACCTGGGTGCTCCCTTTTGCCCTTCCGGATGTAGCAGGAGAATCATAAAGTCGTGGGAGCCACTGCTCAACGAGCATTTTATTTTAGATGGAGCTTGCGAGGTGTTTACGTCAGGTGGCAACATTATCATCCTTTCCCAATGCAGCGTGCGTTTTAATGGTTAGCAGGGTTCCTAGCTCATAGTAAGCGCTCAATAACCCTTTGCTTCTGTAATACTGTTATTTAATTCATTACCAGCATTTTGCAGCTTTCCTCTGTCTTGGGAAAAAGAACAGTGCCCGAGGCAATTTTTGCCCCCTCCAGACTCAGGAGCATGAAAGTCATCACGTGCGAAATAGCCTGGCACAACAAGGAGCCGGTGTACAGCCTGGACTTCCAGCATGGGACGGCCGGGAGGATCCACAGGCTGGCGTCTGCAGGCGTGGACACCGCTGTCAGGGTACGTGGGACCTGAGATGGGCCCGGGAAGCGCTGCTTGAAGCAGCAGTTCTCATTCTTTTATTTCAGACCGTCAACAGACTCAGACTACTCTGTCATCTAGCCCAGAATGCTAAATTCTCAGGGCCTCGCCCAACAATGAAAGTAAAAGAGAGCCGCTTTCTCATTTGACTAATATTCTGGACATTGTCCTGATGGGGTGCCCCGTGTTTTAGAGTCCTTGATCTAGGTTCCTACTGGGTAATAGTTTGCTCTAGAAAGAGGTAGGGAGGACAGCAGACAATGGGACTATTGATTGATGTTTTAGATGGGAGAGGTTCCTTCATTTTACATTTCAAAAGAAAAACTCAGTTATTTTCCTGAAAATGAGCATGCTGTTATTTTAGTAGGAACAAGATAGTAGGTGCTATGTGTTTTTTGAGTGGATGTTTTGGTATCAACAGATCTGGAAGGTAGAAAAAGGACCAGATGGAAAAGCCATAGTGGAATTTTTGTCCAATCTTGTTCGTCATACTAAAGCCGTCAATGTCGTGCGTTTTTCTCCAGCTGGGGACATTTTAGCATCAGGAGGAGATGGTGAGTGTCGCTGTATTTCAGAAATTTTCTAGAAACCAGATACCTGTGTGTCTCATGTCAAATCGCGAAACACGATTTGAGCCTGTGCCTTTTTATTTTAGGTGTGGCTGACCCTCTCACTCTGTCCTTTAGATAGTTTGGTAAAATAATGTTCTGGGGAGTGTGTCAGAATGAGGGGATGGAGGGCAAAAGATTAAACTGAGAAGACCTCTTTGAAAATAGCTCCTTTCCCACCAGGCTGGTTTGGAGACAAGTAGGAAAGGTGCTTGCCATTCTGTCAGGGTCCCAAAGCAACTGTTCTGGCCTCGTTTGGTTGCTAGTTTAATATCTGTGGTGATTGCAGTTAGGATCGTGTCTCTGTGTAATTAGGTAATCAGTTGGCTTCGGGAGTGTCTTTAATGAATGGCCTTGTAATTTGTGCTTGTTTGGTGGGAGTAGATTGATTCATATTTTCTGCCTGTGTTTAAATGAGATAAAACTATACAGAAAAAGTAAACCTTTTTACTATACTTTAAAACAGTCTAGAAACCAGTATACAATAAACCAGAAATCTCAGTTTTTGTTTGCACAAGGAGGAAGAGACCTGGTTGAGTTCAGTGCCACGATACCCGGAGTGTGTGTGTGCATGTGTGTAGAGGGAAAGGTGGGGAGTGGGAGAGTCGCCCAGGGCTGGCCACAAGCTGTCTCACGTAAGGTAGCAAGTGGCAGCCCTCATTTTACCAAGTCCTTTAGCCTTGGAGGCCCAGAAACCATAGAAAGTGTTCACCTGTCAGAGCCAATCTCATCTTAACCCAGCTCCCATGTTAGTATGTGCAGCCAGGACTCTGGTTAATTTAGAATTGAAACACATATATCCATACAGCCTGCTCATTCACTCTCCTATGGACATTCCTACAAGGGAAGCCAAGTCATGGTTAGAGGGCTACACGGTAAGTGTGGAGCCAGAATGTGGGGAGTTAGCAGACTCAGTTGGTGACATCAGGCCAAAGTATCTGATGTGTCCATAATGATATTAATAGTTAATATTGACATGGGCCTACTGTATTGTAAGTGCTTTGTGCGTATTGACGCACTTAAGCTTCACAACAGCACTATGAGGAAGTGAGGAAACTGAGGCATCAAGACGTTAAGTGACTTGCTAAAGGTTATTCAGCTAGCAACAGTTTGCCAACCCTTGCATTGGTGGCTGTTTGCTGTTTTTTGGGGTTTTTTTATTTACTTATTTATAGATTATGCCTTTGTATTTGTTAATATAGCCAGTCACTTTGCAGTGGTGTTTTGATGGCCTGAGGACCCTTCTGTTTAAGATGACTTTGTATAGCTCTGACCTGTTATGAATTTGATTTTGGAGTTTTAGTTCAGAAGGCAAACCTACTTTTCCTGTTCAAATTCATAGAAGTAAATCATTGTGGCTGTTGTGTCCACTGAACAACATAAATATTGTTTAAAATCCTAAAAATTCAGAAATGATGGGGCATGCAATGAAGCATGGCTCATTTTTAATTGGATCACTCCACAGATGCTGTCATCCTATTGTGGAAGGTGAATGACAACAAGGAACCAGAGCAGATTGCCTTTCAGGATGAAGACGAGGCTCAGATGAACAAGGAGAATTGGGCTGTTGTAAAAACTCTGAGGTAACTGGGGGCCCACGGGAATGATTTCTTTTTACGATCAGAATATGTCCTTTTGTTTTGAGATGGAGTCTTGATGTGTTTCCCAGGTTGGTGTTGGACTCCTGGTCTCAAGCGATCCTCCTGCCTCAGCCTCCCAAAGTGCTGGGATTACAGGAGAGAGCCACTATGCCCAGCCTGCCTTTTGACTTTTATATCTAACTTAAAACTTTTACTTCTTATGACTGTGAGACAGTCATAAGACAACAGTTAAAAGATTAAAAAATAATGAAAATGGATTTTTTTAGTTTCTGCTATAAAATTTTCCTTAGTAAAAATCAACCAATTTTAAAGATACAGATATCCTTGAGAATACTTGTTTATAGCTACAGCTGTAGTTCCAGTGGAAATTTCTGGAGTACTATTTAAATGCATGGTCCCTGAGTTTGCCTTTAACTTTTGGATAATTTTTCCATTTTTAAGTCAATAATTGCTTTTTTTTTCCTTTTTCTTTGTATTCTAGAGGCCACTTAGAAGATGTGTATGATATCTGCTGGGCAACTGATGGGAATTTAATGGCTTCTGCCTCTGTGGATAACACAGCCATCATATGGGATGTCAGTAAAGGTAAATGATATGTTTTTGTTATTATCAGCAGGAAGGAATATTCTCAGTATCTAAAAAAGCCTAACCTGCTTTAACTTTAAGAGCAACACAAAAAATTTCTTCAATGAGCTAAAATAGGTGGTTGGCTCAACAGGATAGGGATTAGTCCCATATGCCATGGATCCAACTCAGTTTTTAGGGCCTCAGTCGGAATGTAAAAGGCTTCGCAGTGGCATTGTGAGTTAGCGGTGCTGAGGCAGGCAGGTGCCATGTGGCTGGGGATACAGATGTGGTGACAGGCCTGGTCCCTGCCTTCATGGAGCTTAGGATCTCGGAAAGATTAACAAGTCGTTTATAATTAATAGGTCATTGTGTGCTAGCTGATGGGGTTGGTGGATCAGATTTCCATTTTAGGAGACCAAGGAAAGCCAAGGACATTCTGCTGCTAGAATATTCTGTTCTCTAGCTGGGGAGACAGTAGACATATGAGAAGTTAAAGTGATATAAAAATAGCAGTGAAATGCCAAAAGCCAGTATAGTGGCTAATTCCTAGCCATTTTTATCCCTTGAAGTCCTTTACTCAAATTTTTTTTTTCCCCAAACCAAACCTCTTGCTGCTAATTCTCCCACAACCCAAGTGCCCTGGCCAGGGAGTCGTAGCCAGCGCAGTACTGCACTGATCCTGTTTTCATTCTCTCTGAAAGTCTCTGTTCTCGTTAGTTTCATGCCATCCAGCTACCCCTCCTCTGTCCTGCCTTGTCTCTGCCATACTGTTTCTATTTAGTCGTCAGCTTTCCGGCAAATTGGAGGACCAGTGTCACTGTTTTTCTGTCTATCCCAGATCTGGCCCTCGTCCTGGGTAATTTCAGTGTCTGTGTGGGCAATCCATCCACCATCCCCTTAAACCTGTTGTAACCGACCCTGAACATGGATGCTGCTGTGGTGCTGGAAACAACAGGACCGAAATGGCTACGTTGTAATGGGGCCATTAGAGCAGAGACACAAATGAAGTCAGGGAACAAGCCATGGGTGTTACTCGGGAAGCAGGTTCTGGCCTGTGGGAACAGCAGGTGTGGAGCTCCTGTGGCAGGAGTCGCTTGTGCTTGTGCATCCAAGGATGAGAATGGAATGGAATAAACAGGGTGGCTAGTGGCTGGGAGCACTGAGGTTGGGAGGAGGTGAGGAGCCGGGTCACGCAGGCTGTGGGCCATGGGAAGGAGTTTAGATTTTATCCCAGGTGTGATGGGTTGCCATGGAAGGGTTTTAGACAATCGAGTAACATGATTTTATTTATGTCTTAAAGGCATGTCTCTGGGTGGCATGTGGCAAAGAGACTAGGAGAGGACAGGAGGTGGCAGGGGAGCTGTCCTTGATGTAACCAAACTCAGGGAAGCGGGGATGAGGCTTGGGCTTGGGGGTCATGACAGAGGGCTGGAGAAGGTTCGGTTGGGACATAATCTGAAGAAAGAACTGACAGGATTGGCCATAATTCCAGGCGTTTTGGCAACTAGGTGTATGTTGGTGCTGTATGCTGAGGTTAAGGACACCGTTGGGAGAGCAGTTTTGGCAGAGTGTGTGGAAATCAAGGCCACATCTGAGACCTCTATCACTTTAACTGCTCTATCAGTGTCAGCCTCAGGCAGACTTCCTACTCTTTCACCAGAACCACACGCGATGTTCTGACACCTTTCCACCTTCTCACGCTCTTCTTCCCAGAGCCCCCAAGTGTCCTGAGCCCTCTGTCTGCTGGTCTGTCAGTTCCCTTCCGGCCTGTCATGTTTCCTCTTCACCTTGCTCCCTGCTTGGTCCTATGCCAACGCAGTCTCCTCCGACCCCCTTTCTTCCATTTTAGTCACCAGGACAAACCCCAGCCTGGGATCTGTGTCACAGTGCACCTATAATTTTCTGGCCCTAGGCTGAGCACAGCTGATTAAAAACCTGCAGCCCTGCAGATTGTGCCACTGCAAATTCATCCCGTCCAACCTCAGGTGGGGTCTCGGTGACCTCTCCCACCCCACCATTCACATGTCAGGGTCATACTCTCTTCTCATGCCCAACCACTGTAATCCTGGCAGATTTCCTGAAAGTTTCAAGGGGAGAGGAACACCAGTCAGGGCGCAGGGAGGGTAGAAGTGGGGGAGTTAGACAGACGGACACATGTGTGTTGAGTTTTGTACAGGCTGGATGCTGGCAGCCTGAGGGCAGGCAGTTTAGCGGCTGTGAACAATGACTGCCACATTGCAGTGGGCGGAGGGAAGGGAAGGTGAGGGCTGGGAAGTGAGTGAGGCCCCATCTTAGAGGGGAGGGCTTTGCTGTTTGTTTTTTTAAGAATGGTCGAGGCCTTATAACTCCCCTCTCTTTTTATCCAGGTGCCGCCTGTGCTGCTGGTTTTATCTGCTAACATTTCCCCCAAAGTCCCTCTTCCATCCCTGTTAACATTGCGCTAGGACCTTGTCGTTTCTTACCTGGTTTACTGTGTCACCTCCTCACTAGTAACCTTTTTTGCCATCTTTTCTAAACCTCAGCTTCATCTCTAAAATGTAGATCACTTCTTAGCTTCGTGTTCCTTTCAGCCCACACACCTGGAGTACCCAGAGCCTTTGCCTTACACGCAGGTCTCTGTAACTTCCTCCTCCCTCCTCACCTTGCTGTTCTCGGCCCTCTGCCTTACCCTGTGTCAGTGCTGTCACTTCTCACTGTTCCCAATTTGCTGTGCCGAGATGTCTTTTCACCCCACAGACTTCCTTAGAATACCTTTATTTCCCTGTGCTCTGGTCCCCCCTTCATCCTGTGTGACCTGGGGAAGCGAACTGCAGTCCCCTCTGACCCATACCCCTGCTTCATCAGCCGCCCTCCCCCTGCGATCCTCTCTGACCTTCACCCCTGCCTCATCAGCTGCCCTCCCCCTGCAGTCTGGGTTGTGTGGGACTTGCCTGTTGACAAGTCTGATCCTGAGCTCCCTGAGGGTGGGACTGTGTGAAGTCATCTGTCCCAAGGGCCTGACACAGGATTTGGCACATACAGAGCTGCTCGGGTACCACCTGCTGTATGACGGAACAGTATAAAGGGAACAGTGTCTAAGTCGTACTTTATAGCATTTGTGCTCAAATAGGTTTTGGTAACGCTGTTGTGTGCTTTTTTTGTAGGACAAAAGATATCAATTTTTAATGAACATAAAAGTTATGTACAAGGAGTAACCTGGGATCCTTTGGGTCAATATGTTGCTACTCTGAGCTGTGACAGGTACTTTAGTATTTGGCAAGTTGTCTTTGTCTGTATTTACTTTGAATTCTCTGCAGAAGTATATTTATCCCAGTTTAACCAAGATGTATCAGTTTAGCTTTGGTTCTTTTGTTCTTATTATCAGCATATGAACATGTGACCATATAATGTATTACAACATAATAAGAAGTGGGAAACTAATGAGGGCAAGTGCCTTAAATGAAGTTAGTACTTAGTAAATCTGTATTGAATGGGTAAATTAAGTGTAGAAAGAGCTTTCTAACATCAAATAAACTTTGAAATACATTTGATTTCACGGGAGACTTAAAAAATCTTTTATGAATGTGACTTAATCAAGAAGAGGTAGTGGGAGGATTGGACTATTTCAGTTTTTGATTATTGTTTACTGATACAGTGATTTTAATGACTCTAAATTGATATAAAAATGAACAATTTGTTTTTTCTGAAAGGAAGTCTTATTGCTGTGTTATTGTTATAATTGCATTTAATTATGTTCTTAAAACAAAGAGTTAAAAAAAATCAAGAGTGGCAGGTATATTACTTAACAGTTAGAATAATCCTTTGGAATATTTATCCAACTACTTTTAATTAAAACAAATTGAATTTAAGATGGATCTGAAATAAAAGTAATATGGATGAGTTAGTGTTTATTTTTCATAGAATCTCCTGTTGTGTACTACATGCCATTTATTTTCTGATATGTTTTATTCAGGCAATCAGGAGTAAAACAGTGATTAGTTAGTGGAAGTAATATGACTTATCAACAACCAAATTGACCTTATGGTATTTTTCTTACTCTTATAAATCACAAAATGAACTTCACTACAGTTGTATAAATTGCCACTGGGCCAAATGTCCAAGACCTGAAGTAAGGCTGGGCCTGAAGTATGTCTTACTTGAGTAGTCAAAACATTCAGTGAAACATTTTTTTAAAATGGTGACATATTTCCCCACTATAATACCCTTTAGGTTGTTGATAATTGGTTTTGTCATAATTACTCAGTTAAGTCTGAAATTTTGTGGGCTGAAAATCGTTTAGGTAGTCTTCAGTGTTGGTAATAGATTGTTTTCATGTGAAACGTAATTAATTTACTAGAAGCGCTAAATCAGACTTTTGTTTTTTATTCAGGGTATTGCGGGTGTACAGCACGCAGAAGAAACGTGTGGCTTTTAATGTTTCAAAGATGCTGTCTGGAATAGGAGCTGAAGGAGAGGTATGAAATATTTTGACATTCCCTTGCATCGAGACTAGGAAGTCATGACCTCCTCCTGTACCTCCGCAGCTGGGTCACTGGCCTCCAGGACCCAACGCCTGGACTGGAGGAAGGCTTCCTCCAAGATAGTCAAGGCACAGTTAGTGTGATGGGCTGGTCTGTGTGGTAAGGGGGTGTGCCTGGGGCCTAGGGGAGAGCTGATGATGGAGGATAGTGATTTCTAACCCTGGCTGTGCTGCGGAATCACCTGGGAAGCATTAAAAATGTGGGTACCTCAGCCCTGCTCAGTGGTGTGATTCACTTGGCTTGAGGCAGGCAGGGCCTCTGTGAGTCTCAGGCATAGTGAGACCATTCACTACTGATCTGGGAAGATCCCTGCACTGGGCAGCAGAAGGCAGGTGGGTTGAGCATTGCATGTGTCTGGCAGCAGGCAGTATGTCTGGCAGCAGGCTGCTACTTAAGAATAGGAAGGACCTTGGTCTTTGAAAGAATTGGCAAATGGAAATAGGACCCTAGTCCTGGACGAATCAAGACTACAACTTAGGAATCACCTAAGCAGACACTTGGGTGAATGGGGGAGCAAGCCAGTTATTGGAGCAACAAAGGGACTTGGCACAGATCCACCCTGAGGTGCCAGGGTGAGGCAGTGTGGGCTGTGACCTGATGGGCACTGAGAGGTCACATCTGTCAAGTAAGGATAGTAACTAACAACTGCTGCCTTGTGTTCTTCAGAGTTAAATGCTTAATGTTTATGAAGTGTCAATAAATGGTAGTAAGAACTGTTCCACACAGGTGTTCAAGAAATGTTGTTTGAAAAGATTATATGATTACCAATTTAGTAATCCACTATTTTCTTTTTGAAAAATGTGCATTCAGTTGGAAATTCTAAATAATGTACACATAGATCAAAAGCAAAGTTCTCCTAATTATCTTCCCACTGTCTCCCTAGTCTCTTGCTCCAGACAAACTACTGTTGATATTGTAGTGTGTTTTGTTACAGAGTTTTTAAAAATAATTATATATCGCCCACACACATATATAGATACATACACACATACAGCTTTACTTAACAAAAATAGGTGATCAGTTTTCATTAATGATTACTCCTGCAGTCTTATATGATTATTTGATTTTTAATATGTTTCAGTTTCATTATGTCAATAATAAAGGACAATATGTGAGGAAAAACATATAGAAACATAGAAATTGGTAAGCATTTATTGTGAGTGTAAAGATTTGGAATAATGTTTAAACTTTGTATGCAACAGGCAAGAAGTTACCGGATGTTTCATGATGACAGCATGAAGTCATTCTTTCGTAGACTCAGTTTTACTCCGGATGGGTCTTTGCTCCTCACACCAGGTGTGTTTCACAGCTTTTGATTTAAGGATGTGATGGCAGAGTGGGACTGTCTCTGCTCTCCTTTTGTGATACATCTTTTCAGCTCAGCAAGTTCTGATCAGAGCAGTGGTCCCCAACTTTTCCATAGATTGGAACCTCCAGGGAAGCTTCAGAAAAATACTGGTACCATATCCCACCCGAGAGATTCTAGCTTAATTGGTTTGGTGTGGGTGGCCTCAGTTTTGGAATTTGAAAAAAGATTTCCAAGTGATTCTAATGTACAGACAAGTTTGGAAGTCATGAGATTAAAGTGATAGCCATTTTTTCTTAGATAAATTTAACTTTTAAAAAATTTACTACTTAAACTTTTTAGTGAGTTTTTTTGCTAGATAGACATGTATATGGAGGTCATAGTTCTAAAGCCAAACATAAAGTACCTTTATTGCTTTTATTCTCCTCAAAAATGAAACAACCTGCTGTGACAGAATTAGACACCAAGACAAGTTTGGTTGGACTAACTTGTGGGAGTGGCAGTGGTCAAATCTGAAAAGTCAGCAGAATTAGCAAGGGCAAGATAGGTTTATTGTCTCCAGGCAGACAAGAGGCTAAGCCCAACAAGATAAGGCTAGGCAGCGTTGTGGCCAGAGCGTTCTCGGAAAAGAATGTCTGCTAATCTCCATGGCTTCTGGACCATCCTGTGCATAAAGATGATGACATAGACCAGGGTTGGACCAAATAGGAGGGCACAGGTCAGCTTTGCCACTAAGAGTCCCGGCCAGGCTGGGCCAGGGAGGGCCCAAGCATGGTGTGGATGACACATGCCTCTGAGTGGGTTAGGCTTTGAAGACCACTGGGGAATGTGGGGAATGACGCTTTGGCTCAGAAAGTCTCAGGACCAAGAACAAGTAGTTATTTACTTAAAGTTTATTATTAAAAGTTGTTTATAAACCCAGTAACACATTTTTTACCAAATGACAACTCTAAACATATTTTCAGTTAAAATCAGGTACCAGGTAGGTGTTTGCTATCACTGTTATTGTTCTTAGTGGTGTTAGTAGGTGCAAGAAAATGAAATTACAAAGATTAGAAAACAAGATTTAAAGAAACTGTGGTAGAATTATATTTCTAGAAAATCCAAGAGTTGTAAAAAATACTGTCAATTTAAAAAATTTGATAAGGTGGCTGGATATTGGGAAATATGTGAAAATCTGTCTTTTTTTATATTAGCTGTAAGTACTTAGAAGTGGAAAGAGGAAAAATACTCTATTCACAGTGCCAAGCCTGTAAAATGCATTGAAGTAAATTTAATAAGAAAGACACAGGCCTTTATGAAGAAGAGTAGAAAATCTTACTAAAGGTTGTAGAACAAGTTCTGAACAAATGGGAAGATATATCATGTTCTAAAAATTAACATACCAATTTAATTTCCAGTTAGAATCCCATTAAGGGTGTGTGTGTTTTTTTTAATTGGATGAAATCTCAGCTGTGTTTACTAGAATAAATGCTGATGAACAGCCAAGGAAGTATGAAAAAAAGAGAATAATATTCAAGAGGGCATTTGCCTCACCACATGTCAGAAAGATAGTATAACACTATTTTTTGTCAAATCAATATGATA